TATCTGACACCATCTTTTAGAATGGCCGAGTTTTCGAATGTAAGAAGTCCAATTCGATGATTTTTTACATTGCTTGCGTTAGGGGAAAAGGACCATGTAAAGCGTTTATCTGTCCTGCTTTAAAACCTACAGGGATTAATTATTTAATGAAATCAGATTGTGATAAAAAATTAAAAAAAAAACCGTAATTTGAAGATAAAGTTAAATATGTCCTTTTGATCAAGAGGATATAAACAGTTTATTGGTTATAATCTCCTGGATTGATACTGTTACCCTTGAACTGGGTGAAATAAGGGCTGAAAGTAGTGCAATTGATAACTAAGAGAATGGGATTTTTATTAAAATTTGGAACCAGACTTTGGTAAATGTGCTGGTTGAAGAGTGAATTTTCTCTTTTTAGGCTTATTTCGGCAATTGCTAAAATTTTCAGCTCACCTACTAGTAATAAAGATTCATTTTACTGTCAATACCACCGATGAAATGAAATTTACCTAATTACAGATTATATGATCGAGTCCCCTCCAAGAGAAAGAAGAACTTCCTCAACTGTATCTCGATTCCAACGTGTGGCTCTTTAGCTCAGTTGATAGTTGCGCTGGGAGGCACGAGTTCGAATCTTGTTTACGCCTGAAGTTTATCCAGGCTTTAAATAATAGACAAATATCAGAGCATTTCTTTCAAGCCGACTAAAAGCTATTCTTCATGTAATTATGATAAGTAACTGATCATTGCCGTAATATCTCCTCTATCAGGTTGCTAAAGTCTGTTGATGGTCGACATATGCTAGGTTTAGGCTAAACATTTTATCTATGGTAAATTTTTGTTGTGTGGTCTTTTTTCTGGCTAGCTTAAATTCAAATTTTGGGATAATTTTTTGTAAAGATGTTTTGGACACCCGACATATTTCGAAAGCCAGTCCATGTTTTTCGGGCTGGTTTGCTAAGCACTCAAGAAGCTAGAGTTTTTCTCGGCTCAACAACGTCAACTTGTATTGAAAATACTGAGAAGGCGCTCTCGGCTTCACGGTTATGAAATAGAAACTCAATCAATAGCATTTTCTATACATGGACGATAAGTATTGACGTATTGTTCACAGCAACATACCTCTTGTAAATCCCTTTGAATAAAGCAAAAGGATTGAACGTGTGACATTGTAAAGCAATTATTTCTAAAGCTTGATTTGTATTAGCTGGAATGGTTCAAGTCATGAGATGTTGTTACGTCATAATCGGGTTTTATGCCAGGAGGGAGGGTTGAGGTTTATTTATTTTTGAACGAGAAAAGTGCGAAACAAGGAACTATGGGAAAACAGTTATTCACTGCAATCATCAAGAGCCTCTCTTGAGTCTTGTGATACTGAATGTTTGACGGTATTTTGCTTCTGCCGCTTCAAAATACCAAATTAAGATCAAAGAGGCATTGCATATTAATTGAAAAAAACCGATTCTTAATCAGCAATCGAAGCATCTAGAATTATCTCTTTCCTTTTAATTACGTTGTTCCTTGGTCTCTTATTTTATTATTATTATTATTACGTTTTTGATCTAGTCAAGCGCGCTATTTACATTTTTCGCGTATTTAATATTGAAATTGAAACGTAAGCCCTGACACGTAAGTTGTAATGTACGTTATTATAAATTCAAATGTACAACTGTTAAAAGCTCATTTGCAACTGAAGATGACATGAGAATGTCGAAACGTGTTGTAAATTTAAAATCAAAGTTGTTTCTTTTTGAGAGTTATCCACTGGCGAGGAACTGACTAGTGTAATGAGTCTAAGCATTGTTAAAAACAATTTAAGTCCTTTAATAAAAGCAACTGAAGCCTGGATCGAGCTGGAGTTCGGAGAACTATAATTCTGACACCATATCATCTTTTCGAATGGCTGAGTTTTTGAATGTGATAAGTCCAAGTCGATTATTTTTTACATTGTTTGCGTTAGGGGAAGACCCTGGTAAGGAAACGTGCGAAACCAGGAACTAGGGGAAAAGANGGACGATAAGTATTGACGTATTGTTCACATCAACATATCTCTTGTAATCCTTTTGAATAAAGTAAGAGGATTGAACATGTGACATTGTAAAGCAATTATTTCTAAAGCTTGATTTGTATTAGCTGGAATGGTTCAAGTCATGAAATGTTGTTACGTCATAATCGGGTTTTATGGCAGGAGGGAGGGTTGATGTTTATTTAGTTTTGAACGAGAAAAGTGCGAAACAAGGAACTATGGGAAAACAGTTATCCAGGAACTAACTAGTGTAATAAGTCTACGCATCGTTAAAAAAAAAATTAAGTCCTTTGATTAAAGCAACTGAAGCCTGGATGGAGCTGGAGTTCGAGGAACGATAACTCTGACACCATATCATCTTTTCGAATGGCTGAGATTTTGAATATGACAAGTCGAAGTCGATTATTTTTTACATTGTTTGCGTTAGGGGAGGGCCCTTGTAAGGAAAGGTGGGAAACCAGGAACTAGGGGAGAAGAGTTATCCCCTGGTGTGGGACTGACAAAAGAGTAGTGTAGTAAGTCTAAACATCATTTGAAAAATTTTTTTAATTCCTTTAAAGCAACTGAAGTCTAGATGGAGCTGGAGTTCGGAGAACTATAACTCTGACACCATCTTCGAATGGCTGAGTTTCTGAATGTAAGAAGGATAATGCGATTATTTTTTACATTGCTTGAGTAAGGGGAAAAAGCTTTCTAAAGGTGTTCCTCTGACCTGTTTTAAAACTTACTGGAATCATAATGATTGAAATCAGATTTAAAAAGAACCATATTTTGAAGATAACGTTAAATTTGTCCTTCTGATTAAGAGAATATAAACAGTTTCTCGGTAATCTTGATCTTGTCATTACGAGGCCATCTAAAAGAGTTAAAACTTTGTCTAACCAACACATGATAAAATGATCACTGCTGTATTAGTAAAGAGAGGGAAGGAGGGGGAGGAGGGGGAGAGGGTAAAGCAAACAGTTATAGAGAGAAAGCCTGCGAGGACTATCAACTTTCGTTTCTTCCCTCTCTTATTTTATCACCATATCCGCGTAGGGTATCTGACGCATGAAAATAAAACAAATACGAAAACAAAAGAACTTGGTAAAGATAGAAAATGAAACTGTTACATCCAAGGCCACCAATATCCGGTACTAGCCTTGTTTTGAAAAATCTCAGATGATTTAATGAAGCCAGGTTACTCCCATCTGCTTATCACAACCAATCAATTAACGATCGCAGCTTGTTCCATTGCCTTAGCTCATAGCTGACTACACCCACAACAAGTGAGAAATTAGGTAATTCGTAACTCACTGCGCATCAATATCAACATACAGGTATGTATAACTATCATCTACTTACAATATGGTCAATTCTGGGTTGTTATCGAAGACTCCAGGTGGTAGCTCCTTTATCTGGTTGTATCTCAAGTTCCTGAAAGGAGGATGTACCATTGAGTAAGGTCGAGTGTTTTACGTCTTGTCCTGTTGTTATATATTTCCTCTCTGTACGACCCCCCCCTCCTTCATTACCCCCCTCGTAAAACGAAGAGTTGAAATGCTTACAATTTCGCTGTAGAAAAGGGCAAGTGCTGTGGAACTGACTGCAAATAGCTCCTCCAACAATCAACGCGAGTTACCGAGCGCATAATTCCAACTGCAGTGGTACATCGGCAGGGATCTGGGCACCCTAGAATATAAAAAACAAAGATATACTTTTACTATCGTATTGTTTGATGCAAGTTAGTGAAGGTATTTTAGTCTGTTTGGTTGGAATTGCTAAAGAGTGCATTTGAGTCCTTTAAAAAGGTTGGTACCCTCAAGTCATCCCGCGAAAACTCAATAGTAATCCAGAGCAAGGCAAGGAAAAGTTTTGATAGGTCAATAAAACTATGGTTACAGTCTTTAGGGTTCGAAGACAGATTAAAAAGTATTAGTTATTCATTTTGTAAGCGAGGTATAGAAAATTGCAAATGTGCACTATATTTCCCTCTTAGCCTGATTCAGTTCAGAATCAAATTTTTATGACTAAAACTCACTTTCGATGACAAGACGGATTTCTTTTTTCTCAAAACCATCCTGTGTGTTCACTTCACAGCTGTAATTGTCGCTGTTTTCTCCAGTGATGGTCAGCCGATACAGTACACTTGTACTGTTCTGTACCACTGTGCCGTTTTCTCTCCAAACAATGACTGGAGCCGGTGCACCCTGTGCTGGACACCATAGGGATTGATGATGGTTGAAAAGCACATACTGAGTCTTGAGCACTTTATCCAAGTTGGGTTTCACTGAAGGATAAGAAAAAGTCATACTCAGCCATCACAGAAGTATTTGAGTCTGAGGAGCATAGGCAATGACCACTCTCAATATGTATATATAAAGGCTGTCAGGGGCTGATTTCAGCATGTCAATACTTGCCTGTTATATTAGTAGTCTTGTTTCTGTATGAACCTCTGAAAAGGTAATCGGAGTTATCTGATTTTCTCAACCACAAGTTCTGTCCGCTAGATCGCACAATACCGGAAATGTTTCTTCCACAAAATCTTCCAAGAAGATTGGCAGACCCGTCGTATCCATCACGAAACTCAAGGTACATATCATCATCAATGCACGGTATTTCATCTGAAGTCTCCAAGGTGAAATTCAGTTCTACATAATGCCCTTTTGGAGCTTGCAAAACTTGGCTTGAGGTAAACCCTGGGACAACTCTCTGAAGGCATACTTCCGCCATTAGCCTAGCTGCTTATAAAATCAAGAGAAAAAAATAGATATGATAGATATGACAATGAGGAAGGTTTCTAACTGAGATCGTGAAATATGTCAATTTCGCCAAAGCTATGAAAAGATAGCATCTCGAATGAAAGCTTTTTTCAGAGTCGTTTCAGGGAACGCTCAA